CATTGCAAATATGAGTGTGAACAGGTGTCTGTCACTCTGTTAGCCCTGCGTCAGACTGGTGACCTGTACAGATGTGTCCCACCTCTCGCCCCATGTTGGCTGGGATTAGGCTCCAGCTCCCCTGATGAGGATAAACTGAAGATTACTGATTGATGGACGGCCTACGATTTGTTTTTATAATTTTTTCCTAAACTTGATATGTTTAGATGATCCATAGCCTTCCCTTTGGATTATATGCCAGTATCATTTAGGGATGTCACTATAACAATTTTTTGAGTATTACACATTTTTCAACAGGAAATCCATATCAAACCAAAACAAACCAAAATGTATATAAATAAATTTTTTCTTAATAAAACTTTGGTATATGGACAAAAGTAAAATTTAACTTGCAGAGCAAACAGTCTAAGTGTCGAATTATTATTCATTGAAAACTATCTATTGACATATTCAATCTCTGTTCAACTTTTTAAAATGTAATTTTCAGGGAAGAACTGGCCGTGGCCAGTGAACTCCTCCCCAGGCTCGCCTCTTGGGGAGTAAATTACATTTAAACAGCAGAAACTCATTTGCCCTTTGAAAGTTTTACCTCAAACAAAAGTAACAGAGTTTCTTCTTTTAAAGGTCAGTGGAAAAGCTTCCAGCCCGACAAGGTAAGAGTGAAATCACATTCATCCAGATAGACACATCTGTTAGAGCAAAGTGGAATATTCTCGATGGCCCAGTCACTCACTGATCTTCACCCAAGTTTAGTCTTCACTTGTTAAAGACTAAACTTCAGACAGAAAGGCCACCAAACAAACAGCAGCTGCAGAAACGCCCTGGCAGAGCAAAAGGAGGAAACCCAGCATATGATGAAGAGTTCAAGACTTCAGGCTGTCATCGCCAACAAAGGGTTTTCCACCAAGTATTAGAAATTAACATTTTTACTTATTTGTCGATTACTTTTGCGCCTCTGAAATTAAGGGATTGTGTTTAAAAATAGAAAAATCAAAGCTGACAGTCTGCACTTCAACTGCATTGGAGTCGTTTCATTTAAACTTCACTGTGGCGATGTACAGAACCAAAATGAGAAAAAAGTTAAATATTTTTGGACCAGACTGTATACCCAGCACTGGCAGGGTGACGCCATGGCAACCATTTATTATTTTTCTTTTTACTGCCCGTTTTCTTTCCCTGCACATGATCTGGTGTTTTAGTGTTTGTGCTGGTGTTCTCAGACTGTTCCCGCTCTCATATTTAAACCTTAAACAGGTCAGTTTTAGAGCCCTCCTCGTCAACCAAGATATTTCCAATCTTATATCCTGGGAGGGCCTTTTTTTAAATTCTGGCTCATTACAGGATCATGGTTTTATTTTGGCGGGGCTGCAGGAATAAGTTTATGCTTTAATATTAAAAACAAACTGGTCTGAGTGCCAGGTTAGCTCATGTGTGAGCAGATCACCGTTTACCACAGAAGGTGAATGCAGCTGTCCGGGTTGGATTCAAACCTGCGGCCCTTTGCCGTCGGCTCTCTGCCATCAGATCCAATAAAAGGCAACAACTGTCTCAACAGATAAACCAGAGTGCCTGCTTGGTTTCCCCTCAAACACTGTTCTGGTTTAAATATCTGATCTGCCAGCTCATCTTTTAACTTTGTGATGGTGGTTTGTTCAGGCTGCACTTGGTGGACCATCGAAGCCCAAAAAGAATCAGCGATCCAGCTCCAGCGGTAACTCCAGCTGCTTCCAGCCTCAAAGTCACGTCAACTCGTTTGTACATTTTTCCTGTCTGAAACAATAAAGCTGTTTTTCTGGTCATGGTTTAATTTGAAGGTTGGTTTGTGGGGTCATTCTTCAGCGGCGCCATCACCTGACCAACCACACGCAAGCTCAGGACAGAAACCGTGCTCCTCACAGGGACCAATAAAGAACGAGCTCTGTGGTGAGTTCAGGTTCCACGGAGGACGTCGTGATGGGGACACTCGTGACGGGGACGAACAGGCTTAATATTCTCAGCGAGGTCATGTTGGAGCTCTGACAGACATTAAACCCACAACTCTGGTTCTGCTGTGGCTTTAATGTCGTTCTGACCTGTGCAGGTGAAACAGCTTCACTCATGACCCAGTGTGTCTGCTGGGTTTGTTACGACGTTTATTCACAGCTACCTTTAGTTGATCCCGAGCTCAAAGAACATTAATAAGGGAAAAAAAAAGGTTAATTCCAACTGAACTTAATAAAAAAAACAAAAAAGGAGAAAAAAAACAAAAAAAAAAAAAAAAAAAAAAAAACGCAACAACCCCGAAGAAAACGCAAGTTCAAAAAAAAAAGCCAAACCAATTCAACTTGAAAAAAAAAAAAAACCGTGGCCGTCAACCAAAAAAAAAAAAAAAAAAGAAGAAACAAAAAGTTCAACCCCAAAAAACTTGCATCCAATCTGATAATAATCGAGGGATAAAAACGACCTGATATTCCCGTTTGATTTCCAAAAATATACAATATTTATATAATTACAGTGAATCTCGGGCCGGCGGCTCGCTTTGGGAGGAAACTCTTTACTTTAAAGCTGCGACACTAACGATCTGAGTTACATCCACACAGAAACACACCTACAAAAATAGAGCGTCAACATTTTACACATCCACCGCCACCTGCTCTGATCACACACAGACGGCCGCTTCTAAACCCACCGAGGGGGAAACACCACGTCGACCCGCTCTCTGAAGGTCAGAGGTCAAACGAGTTGGGGTCACGTGGAGTTTAACAGAAAGGGGAGGAGACTGCTGTCAGCGGGGAGCGTTTCTGGACGTTAAAGATTGAGCTTCGTTTACTCTGAGCTGCTCGTGTCCCGTTTCTTCCCCCAGTTTCCTGTTTATTAATATTTAAGTCAGCAGGTTTGAGTCTGATCACATGATCCTGATGTTTCAGGAGAAACTAATGAAAGAATGAAAAGAACAAATACGCTGAACGATTAAACTGAAGGTGGTTTGATGGGAAAGATCAGCTCCAGCCTCAGCCTGAGGTTCCTGCAGAGGAACGTCGGCGGCCTCTGGTGGAGGGATTCAAACCTGCAGCCCTTCATCACGGAGCTCGAGGTCGTTTTATTTTATTGAAAATAAAGTGAAGAATAAATTCTGATGATCACTCAGGAAGTATTTGAACCTTTTTTCTCTCACTGGTATCTATGATGTCACTGCAAATCTCGTGTCACTTCCTGTTTGGTTTTAAATCTGAGAACAAGCTAAAAGACTGACAGACGTGGGGTTAAAGGTCACACACGGCTCGCCTCATCTTTTATATGGTGTCAGTTTCAAGACGTTCGAGCAGCCGAAGCTTCTCGTCCCGCCCTGCGCTCTCATTGGCTGACGATGAGCTGTCGCAGGTACGACTGCGTGAGGCCTCGCAGCTCCTCCAGCGTGTAGTCCTCGGGCATCGGCAGGCGGCTGATGTGCGGCGCCAGCTGGGCGAGCGGGATGCTGAGGGAGTCGGCCGTATCGCCCTGCTGCAGGCTCAGCACCGCACGCAGGATGTTCGCCACGCGCTTCGCCATTTCTGCAGAAAAGGAGGGGACCAGGGGGCGGGGCTTTGTTAGATCACCTGATGTAGCTGCGGAAGCTGTTCAGACTTTAAACTGCTCGTTTCTGTCCCTCCCCTCCGTCTGACATCAGCCAATCAGGACAAAGATGCAGTCGTTCTCTTACCCGATTGGGCGAGGCGGTCTTTAGCGGTGCGGCAGGGCAGGAGCTCGATCCTGCTGCAGAGAGACGTCACATCGGTGTAGAGACGCTCCAGCTCGTAGCCGGCGTTTTCCATCTGACAGCGAGGACAGAAACACGAGATCAAACTCGGCGTGAGGACAAAACAGTCACTCAAACACGTGAAGACTTTACAGCACTTCACAGCATTTCACAACATTTTACAGCATTTCACAGCCCTGCTTTCAGATTTACTCCAGATTCTCCAAACACTGTTGGATGTAACCACGGCGTGCTGCGTGAAGCAGTTAGTCGATGCTGCTCGTGTTCATCACTCTAATGCAGAAATGAGCTCGAGCTGCGATCACATCGGCACCGCCTCGTGTGAACGCCGCAGACGTCAGAGATGTTTCTACGACTTTAGAATTATAATAACTGCATCACTACTTTTATACTTACAGTAACTTTGCTGCTTATACTTCAATAAGTATCCTAATGAAGTACTTTTACTTTCAAAGAACGGTCGCCCTCATCGAGCTGAGAATCAGAAACACTCAGAGGAACTTTGGTACCTGCTGGATGTCCTGCAGAGTCTTTATGACTCTGATGTAGTCGAGGTAAACCCCCCCTGCTGTGTCCCAGTCCTGGATGGTGGCGCAGTGCTCGGGGAGCGCCAGACCCTCCAGGAACTCCAGGAGGTAGTCGTGGTTATCGTTGATGATGCAATCTGAGAGAGAGAGGGGGAGCGAGAGAATCTCTGAACTCACACATGAAACCATGGCGATGTGTGGACTCGAGCGCCCTCGGCTTTTTAGACTTTCATGAATGAAAAAAATGCAGCTCATCGTGTTTTTTAACCAACCGGAACTTTACTGTAACCATGTAATGATGTAATGATGCTAATTATTCAGATCAGAGGAGTCTTTTTTGACTGCAGGACGTGGTTCAGACGGCGTGTGAAAACAGGCGTCTACCTGAGGCCAGGTGCTGGATCAGCAGGCGGTGGCACTGGTTCCAGTATCGGGCTCGGTACAGGTGCAGGGCCTGCTGGTGTCTGTCGCCGTCGCGGTGGGCTCGGGTGGCCTTGGCCTCGTGGATCCACTGCTCCGGGATCAGCAGCTGCTCGGTCAGGAAGCGCTCCCTGCGCACCGAGTCCTCCGTCTCCTGCAGGGGGCAGTGCAGCGCCAGCATCTCCCTCACAGCTCGCTCCCTCTGACTGAAGACGCAGAGAAGAAGATCAGACAGGAAATAACGAGCTGAGATCTAAAGAGAGGACGGCGTCACAGAACAAAGTGGGCCGGAGTGCAACGATCACGTTCAACTCGACTGTTACTGAAGATCACTGAGCCAACACGCCATCGGCTGAGCGCCATCAGCTGTTTCCACGAGACTCGGAGGATTCAAAGATCCGAGTCGTAAAACAACCTGAGCTCCTTTGGCTCGGAGCCAAGCTGCTGAACAAACGCCGTAAGTGCTGGCGGCGCGGTGAACGTACGTGTGCTCGGGGATGTGCAGCAGGATGAAGACGGCCATGTGCCACAGGCCGGCGCTCTCCAGCTGCGCGGCGTAGCTGGCGTGGAGGAGGCCCTGCCGTGGGGCGCTCAGGTGGGTGTAGTGCAGCGCCTGCAGGACGCCCCACAGGTGCCAGCTCAGGCGGTAGTCCAGGCGCTCCCAGGTGACGGCGAGAGGCTCCAGCAGCTGCTGCAGGCCGTAGTGTCTGCAGGGCGACAGGAGAAGCGTTAAAGTAGCGCTCTGCACACTTTAGCCAACGAGCGGCTGAAGCCTGCTTACCTGTCGCTGTAGAGTTTGAGCAGGTGGAAGCAGAGGTCGTACAGCGGCCGGTTGGACGACTCCTCCAGATCTGGCTGCTCCGCCTCCAGGTATGGAGGCAGGGGTGCACAGGCGTACTTCCCCGCCTCACACGAGCCCTGCAGGACAGAAACAACGATCAGCACGAACACAAGCAGGTCGCGAGCTACACCCGTCACCGCGCTGCACACTCCGCCCTTTAGCTTTACGAGCGTAAATGTAACCTGAACGCTCGACAGGCAGAAACGAAGTCAAGAGAAAATCACGGCGGCTCACCTGAAAGGCGGCTTCGTATCTGGCGAGGGCGTCGGCCACAGAGGCAGTCGGGGGCAGCATGAACCAAAGGTGGACCGCCACGCAGCGCTTCCAGTCCAGCTCGGCGCACACGTTCACCAAAGAGTCGGTGGACTGCCACACCTGCAGAGAACACCGTCAGCATCCAACCACAGCTGAAACTGAGGCTGTGCAGATCTCAGCACCCTGACGTCACACACCGCTTTAATTTATTAACATGGATGAAACTTCTGGAACATCTGGAGTGACTGAATAACCACGAGAGACGCTCATGAAATTATTTCTTGTTTTACACACTGTTGATTCTTTGCTGGTAGGATGTGATGCGCCAAAACTAGCAGAAGGTGGCGCTAACTCACCACAGACACTAACACCACAGAAGAAGACATTAGCTTTATAGACTCTGGTCATGGTGTCATACCGGTTTCCCGGCGAGCAGAGCGAAGATGCGGAGTCGCTCCTCGGGCAGGTAGCAGTCGGTCTGCATGCGGTGCCAATCGGCGAGCTGAAGGGCGAGAAGGTCCCTGCAGTACTGAGAGCCCACGGCCTGAGACAGCAGCAGGGACAGACGGTGGTCTCCTGGACGCACAAAGTTCAGTCTGAGGTTTGATTACAGACTGGAAACGTGTCGCCGCGTCTACTGAGCGCCACATTCATGACTCATCGCTGCTACTTCCTGTTTGAGCGAGTGAACCTCACCTTCCTTCTGGGCGAGTCGGCACGCCTCGCTGATGCGGTTTCCCGTCAGGTAGCTGAAAACTGCGTCGACATGGCGACCTTTCCCGGCCAAAACCACCTCCTCCTCCACCCTGTGGGAGGCGCCGCGGGACAGCCAGGCCGAGAAGCTCCGCCTCCTCTCCAGCTGCCGCTCGTACTCGCTGAGCACCTCGGCCTCCTGATCCGAGGGGCCCAGCCGGCCCCACAGCGCCTCACACAGAGTCCAGACCTCGGCCCAGTAGCCCAGCAGCGCTGCAGCAGAGAGAGCGTTTAAACCGGCGT